GTTACCGCAGGCGGGGTATGGAAGTGAGACTCGAGCGCAAGAAGTCCATAACGTACGATAGGTTTTGCGAGCAAGTGGCTGAAGCGCAGTGGGAAGAGCAGAAGAGGGAGGAGAGAGGCGAGAGACCACACGGATGTGAAGACTAGGAAGGCTATCTCTGAAGGGGCGGCTTGACGCCAGTGTCTTGTCCACCATGAGGATACTGCGGGAGGAGAGTATTAGTGTGGTGTTGTGGGTGTGGGTACAGGGGATTGCACAAACCGTATGCCATTAGACTGAGGACTCCAATGGCAGTGATTGCTTGGAGGGCGCGGAGAGGGTATATGGGGTTCATTTTGATGTTTACGGGACTGGCGAAAGTTTTCTTATTTGGGGTCGTTGAACGCGTGGGTGAAATATCCTCCTGGCCGTAATGCTCTTGGGTATAGAAAGAGCTCCCAGAAGCTCCCAGTCAATGCTTCGTAACTCGTGAAAATGAATGCGCTGAGGTAGAGAGAATGATGAAATGAATGGTGGTTGAATAAAAGCGAGAATTGAAAAAGCCTTCAAGGCTAGGTACGGTACGTAACAACACACAGGAAAACGAGAACGGACTCAAATTCAAACTTACTCTACAATGCGGACTGAGGCACTTCAAAAGGCCTTACACATACCTACTATCCTGCCCGTCTGCTCGCCCACCAGCGATGCCGTTGCTGAGACCCTGCGTGCATCACGGCTGGAAGTGTACCATCATGCAATATTCGGAGATGTAATAAGCCAGAATCAACCTTGCCAGTTGTTCGCGATACTCATGCGCAAGGGGATTAGTTGATGGTTACTGGCTGATTGTACTGGTTGTCTGGGGTCCTGTTTCAGGTGTGAGAATGTTGCGGGGGACTGCGGCTAGGCGACATGCATGTAACGTCCAACGTCAGCGTTGCGACTGATGAGCTAATGGATTCGGAAGGACGAGAAGTAGTCAATTGGTCACTGGAAATTGATGGACGGTGAGGAGGAGGATATGATGCTTGCGAAGTCATTCCATTAATGCACCCCCCTAATATTATTGACGCAAATGTAAAATACACATGTGGCGATCGTCGAGAGAACCATTTCAGACAGATAGTTATCCCAAGATCCACCAACCAACCTCGATCCTTACAGCTAGATCGAAGAAGATCAGAGCAATATGCACGCTGCCATGTTAACACCCAGCAATCCGATATCAACGCCGTATGAAAGAGAGTGGGCATTCCAGCACCACTTATCTCAATGCAACGTTAACTGCAGATGCCGAAATGGTCAGATGGGTGATGCGGAAGGATCTTTGTGTACAAGAATTTAGGAAAACCAAAAATCAAAATCAGAAAGCCGGCCCAACGCGCAATGTTCAAGACCAGTTCTAATCTGCACCGAGCGTTATGTGCGCGAAGACCGGGAGATAGGCGAATCCAGACTATTCAGCTCGCGTGGCATGCGAAAACAAATTTCCTGCGCTCGAAAGCTGAGATTGGATCAAGGCATTTCAGCGCGAAATCTCTTCAGAAGCTTATCGAGTCACAGACCTTCATCCAGAACCATTTTAAGACCTGGACGCGCGAGCCAACTCGTTCCCCTCGTGAACCAAGCCTGAAATGCGACGAAGAAGAGGATTACCGGGTGAGCTTTCGTTGAGTTCGATGTACTTGGACGTGAGGCGTTGATTGACAACATCCATAATCTTAGGAATCATGTCCTTGAGCTCGGGGTCCTAGAAGCGATTAGTTAAGTTCTTAGTCAACTAGAGTTAGAAACTCACTATAGGATTGATACTACGAAGAACGGTCTCGAGCCAATTGAGTCGCTCCGGGAGGTTGCGTTCCAATGCAGCAGATACAATTGCACCCGTTGACAGAATGAGCAGCGGGCTCATTTGTGTGAGGTAGCTCGGGTTGCAGCGTACAAAAATTTCATCAAACAGCTCGCCAGACCGGGACGACTGCAGCCATTGCATAGTGCCCCGAGCGAAATCACCATTGCTCAAAAGCTCGGTGATAGCTTCAACCTCGAGTTGCCCGGGACTCTTCTGCTCAAGAGGTGGCGTAGCCTCCTCCGATGCCTTGAGTGCACCCTGGGTTGATGAGTGAGAGACAGCCTGCTGAAGCTTTGCAACTTGTGCTTGGAGTTCAGCCTGAGTTGCGACCATGGTCTGAATGGTCTCCAAGCAAGTGTGAACAGTGTCGGTGAGCTGAGCAATCTTGGCAGCATCCTCATGACGCTGAGTATGTGCTTCACGAAGCTGTGCACTTATCTGTTGCTCGACCATGTTCGAAAAGTTGGAAATGGCGGGATTGATAACCGATCCGACAGATGCGACAACCATGGGCTCAAGTGTACCTGTAAGCTTCTTTGCGACCTGGTCAGAGAGTGACTGGAAGATCTGTGGACTCTTAAGCGATCGCGAGACCGCATCAGGGATTTCCTTGGACAGTTGAGGTCCCAAAGCAGACTTCAAATTGGTGCTGATGCTCTTCTCAAGGGTAGAGGTCGTCTTTGCAAGAACCTCAGGAAGAAGAACATTGCGCATGTTGTCTTCGACCATCTTCCGGATCACGCCTTCGACGTTATCAGTTAGAGTGCTCGAGACAAGACGAAGGATAGCCTCTTGTTTGGCGCCATTGGCAGCATTCATGACGCGCTTATCCTCATCGAAACGCTTGTACATGACGTCGAGCTCACGAGCGAAGCCCTCAGTTATCTCGGCTTGGACAATCTCCTTCAATTTCTTAGCATCCAATTCTGCCGGCCCTGAGGCTGTCGTCGATTTCTGGAAGTGTTTGTTGATAAGCTGCTTGGCCCACTCAGGCGCCTCGACATTGGCAGCAGCAGTAGGAGTTTTGGAAGACTCTGGCTCCACAGGGAGATGCTGAGGAGCAGGCGACTTGGCTTGTGGAGGAGCTTGAGCAGCCTGTGCGTATGATGACGGTGGGGCACGAGTCAAAGTAGAGCCCGCGACAGATGGTAAGGCCGATACCTGAGATGCTGTTTCGGTTACAGGACGCTTCTTTTTCTTCTTGTCTGCCTTCTCAGCACCTCCGTTGATGATGGCTGCACGAGCTGCGTCTTGCTTGCTCTCAACCTTTGCAAGAGTCGAGGCACGCATTGCAGCCTCGGGCGTCATCGTTTGTCTTGACACGTTGCTGCTATCCTTCTTAACAGACTCCCGAACAGAACGGTCAGAGACAGACTTCGGTGCAGGCGGATCACCGACATTTGAAGACTCGTCGGTGACAGCCATGGGAGGCTTGAGCTGTGCAATAGTGATGACACCTTCTTCTTCAGCTTCCTTTGGGTTGATAGGCTCGCCTTCCTTCTTCCAGCCAAGGTCACTTCGGCGAATGCGGAGGACGCACACGCCCTTGGAGTGCATGACATAGAGCTCAAACAGAGCAGCGTTGTCAGGATCATCCACATCAGCTGGGCCAGCGGGCTCGTTAAGCATGTGCAAGCTCCTGATCTGACCCTTGGAGGCGAATGAGTACTCTGTGATGCTTGTCATGATGGCAGTGGCATTGACTGGAGGCAGCTGGTTCTGGTTACGCTCACCCTTATTCGCGAGACGAGCGATGTACGCTGCCTGGCTCAGGGGTGGCAGATTATACCTCGGGCAGGAAACGTGTACAAAGAAGACCGAGTTCCTCGTAGGATGGGCAACGGCCATGATCCCAGTTCTAGGATGGAAAGAGACGCTGCAAATAGCGTCAGACTCATTCTCGTGTGGCAAATGAATCTCTTGAACCGCTTTGTTAAGGCCAAGATCCCAGAGCTGAAAAGCGTGGTTCTGTTTCATGCCCACCATGACATAACGTAGCGCAATACCCTTAGTATATGGCTTGTCCTTGTCAAAGAAGAAAACTGATGTAGGCCACGACTTTGCGTTAGGGGTAGTCGTGTGGAACTCGAGTAGAGTCTCCGAAACCTCAACTTGGCGCGGTGCGCTGCGCGGATTACCGAGTTCGGGCTCCGTCAGTGTACGAATGTCCCAGAAGCGCATCCGGCCCGCTTTATCGAGAGAGACAATGATGGTATCATCTTCACTGAACGTGAAATCCTTGCCGGCCTTGCCAGTAAGGATCTTCAGCGAACGCTCTTTGAAATACTTTTCGGTGTGACAAATGCGGTTCTTGCTGCGGGCGTATTCTGCAGCCACCTTGGGGAAGATGATATGAATAGACTTGCCCCGGCCAACTGCGAAGAATTCAGGATGCCGCGAAGACGGCTTGGCACGAGTCTTGAGCTGGCCACCAGATGTGTTATCATCTTGCGAAGGTGACGGAGGTAGCATAAGACCCTGCGAGTCGAGATTCTCGCCAAACTGATCTTCACGGGCCGGGTCGAGCGACGTCCAAAATACTGTGCCGTTGACACCAATACCGAGAATACTCTCGATCGACTGCTGTGTGCCGTCTTCCGATGTGCACAAAGCGATGTTGAAGATACGTTCCTGGTGATTCTCAAATACCTGGCGGTACTGACCATTCTCCTGACGAATGATGCGGAATCCGCCCTTCTTGACAAGGGCGTAGACAATGAAGTTCTTGCTAGCCGAGACAAGGGAGCGGTCAATCTGATCAAAATCCTTCTTCAACCTCGCGATGTCCATGAAAAGCTCCGGTCGGAACTGGACACGATGAGGAATGTCGCTAACAGTAATGGAAGCAAATGCGCGCATGGGGAATCTATAGACTATTACTGTCTGATCATCCCCCTGTGCGAGACTCTGTTCAGCTTCAGCCGTCTCCCAATTGTCGACAACGTCTCCATCAGCGACCTCATTGGCAACTTCCTTCAGTGTTGCTGCGAGAGGCTTGGGCAATGCTTCTCCGATTTCCTTGGCTGTAGCTGGGTCCTCAAGGTCATTCTTGATCTCAGTGGCGACATCGACCACGGCCTCCTGAGCCTCAGTGGCATCGGCAGTAGGCACGCGTTTCTCCTCGGCCACGTGCAATGTAGAGCTACCCTCAGCTTCAGCCTCGGCAAGCGCGTCTTCGATCTGCTGGCCAACCTGTTCGCGCAATTCGCTCACAGCCTCTGCCACAGTCTCGTGTGATTCAGGATGAGTGTTTCCGTTGTTGGCGTTGGCCGGTGGCGCAGATGGTTCACGCTTTTGCTTTTTGAGAATCTCGACTTTTGGGCCCGGTGGCCTGGACGGTTCTGGGTTTGGGGTACGGTTTCGGGGACTGGCAGCTTCGAGCTGGTCAAATGGGTTGACGTAGGTGAACTTGGGTGCCAGGCTAGTGGCCTCAGGCTGAAATCGCTCGGGCGCACGGTTACCGTCAGAGCCGAAGATCCTCATTGGAGAAGAAGTAGCGGCAGCTTCGCTCTTAGTCTGATTAGCGGACGCTTTCTGAGCTTCAGCACCGGCAAGGTCCTGCGCAAGGTCATCCACAACCGTTTCAGGCTTGTTGGACTTGACCGGCGGGGAAAAGGCAGCGGCAGAAGTTCGAGGAGAACGCTCATCAGACTGAGCAGGCTTGGGGTGGTTCAGCAGGCGCAATAGCAAGTCCTGGGGGTTCTCGGATGCCGCAGGGACTTGCTGCGCTTGTGCAGGGGACATCGAGGCTGCACCGTACGAAGATGACCTGTTGTTCGCGAAGTTCGCAGCGAGGTCTGCATGGGAGACGGCACGGCTATGCACTGGCGAGGCTTCGGTGGTTGGTGCGTTCTGGGTTACCCGTCGCACCTGCCCGCCGTTAAAGCGGAGCAGGTTTAACAAGTTGGTCGCCTGCTGTCCCTGCTCGGGTGCGGGCGTGTTTGCGGTCGATGTGTTGGGCGACATGACAGCACTCTGGTGATGCGGTTGCGGGCCACTGGGTGATGGGGAGAAGAGGGGCGACGAAACAGACGGCTGTTGGTAGCTATGCTGTTGCTGCTGCTGCTGTTGTTGTTGTTGTTGTTGCTCTTGCTGGTTGCCACTGTTGAGACGAGCAAACAGCTCCTGCAGATCCGCCATGACGGTGAAGGAGGATGGGATAGATCTGGAAAGTGTCAGTGAAGGCAGGACAGCCAAACCTGACAGCGTCGTAGATGATGCGGTAAGCAGAGTCAACGTACTTTACTCAAACCCAAAATTTGCGTGTGAGCAAGCTGGAGAGCCAGCTACTCAGATTTCGGAAAGGTTCTATGACAGTGCGCGACTAGGAAAGCAAACCGCAGCAAGACGAGCAATATGATGATGCAGGGCAAGAGCTGCGATGATGCGCAGTGATCAATTGACGGACGAAGGACAGTAGATGAGGCAGTGAGGTAACTTCGCTAGCACAGCTATGTTGTCGTGCTAACACCCAAAGCGGCAAGGCGCGACGCGGCGAAGGTCCTATTATCCCTCCAGCACTGCACAGTTGTCTGATACCACGACACACGACAACGATTGAACAACACGACTGTTGTGGGTCAATTTGTACACGTCTTTCGCCGTCCACGTTACTTTGCGCTGATCTCCACTTAGGTCATATTCGTTTACACGACATAGTCTCTTGTAGCGCGCACATCACGTCTCGCTGCAATATCCGCTAATCTGTCGCGCCACAATAAGCATCCTGTAGTACCGCAACACATTTCAAGCCCTTCCAGATGCATGTCTGTCTAGTTTGAAGTTCTGGAAAATGTGTGTCTTTTCGCAGTCGTAGACAAATTTGACCATGTCTCCAGCACACTTCTCATGATTGGGTAGCATGCTTGGCTTGACAACTCACGAACTTTCTTCTGCGCTTGCACAGACACCACTATCGTCCAAGGATAATAGGGCCAAGACTTTGTGGCCTGCAAAGTCCAGTTCTCCTACATGTACTCATTTTCGCGATTGGCTATTTATATCCTGGGGCTCCAAGTACTGGCCACTTGGTTTACTTCTTCCAATCATCATGTCCCACCTCTTTCGGAAAAATGGCGTTCTCCCAGACGCCCCCATAAATTAAAAAAGGGAAGGTATTTTGAAACTTCTAACATAGTTCCAGCTTGCTCGTTGTGAGACTTTTCTTCGCTTTTTGGTTCCATGTAGAGAAATCTTCTAGTATCAGGTATCGCGGCTGAGAAGATCTTCACTAGCACTGCCACCAGGCATGTACCGGTACCCCAGATTGCCAGTGCATCTTTCGCCATTCCTGGTCAGATCTGTCAACATCAGTATACTGAGGTAGTTCCCTGCACAGCACTCACAATGTTGGAAACAAAGTCTGATTCAGGCAGTGTTGGCCAGCCATTTCCTAATTAGATACTTCACAGATATCATGATTCATGCTCTTATCCTCTGTACCTACCTCACAGTGTAATGCCGAGGTCCACTTCCCATTAGCGTGCACAGGCGAGTTGACTCCGGACTGCAGATCAACCACTGCTCTGGATCAACTTATGTAGCAGTAGCGACGACATAACATTTTCTCTCCCCAGTGTAGCGCCCGCGAATCCGCATTAGCTCCAGCTGGAGTAAGCTAATAAGACTCTACCCAGAACAACCAAAGATGACGTGCGGAGCCGTAGTACTGTATGAGAAATGTTTCATCCGCCTCCA